TATTTGTTTTTTGTTGTTGTTGTTTCTACCGACTTTAAAATAATAGATTTTTCTGCATTTGGTAATGTTGAAGAATATTGTTCATAAAGAATGTACACACGTATATCTGTACATCAGTTMAATTATTGAAAATTGGTGGTAACATATCATTTACACAGATGATTTGTAAAAAAAAAAATCATGCTTTGTTTTTAAATTTCATTCAAAATTAAATTTCTTTTATCCTAAAAAGTAGCAAGAAACAATGTAAGACAAATAAGAAATCTAAAGGTATTTAGAGCCAAAGATCTAACTGATTAATGTTGTAATTTCCTGATTTTGTGAGTTAAAACCATGGCCCATTGAAAAGCCAGTGCTTATCTTTTGGCTGATTTCAAACAATGTAGACATTCTTTAATATTYATAAATGAGCAATAAGCAAAATACAACAAATAAGAAGAAAACAAAAGTTTCTGGGTCACTACTTACATTACTATAACCTGAACAGACAGACATTTTATAGTTGCCATCGATGGAGATACTTTTAGTAAATGATTTATATTATAAACAAATGGATACTGAACTAATTGTCACTATTATATCAGAATAAAATACAGGTTTTCAGTAGGACTGACTTCTTCGTATAGATTCTTTAAATCATAGATCCTTACATTGAAAAGATATCTACAAAGGATTAGATTTTTTGGGGGGGGGCTTTTTGTGAATTTAATCAAGGATCATGAAACAGAATTGTTCTTTTGTTCTTACAGGATGTGTCAAGATGTGCAATAGCATCTTTGACAAATACAGAACTTGCTAGAAATCATGAGCAATGTTTGGGACAGGGATTATAGCAAAGCTGGAGAGTCATAGTACAAAAGACAACWATAAAAACATTTTTAGAAAGAGAAGAATGCAAAGATGATGCATTGTGGAGAATCCAGCACATCAGAGGAGAAAGACCTATTATCATATCAATAGAAATGTAAAGATTGCTGACAAAATTCATCACTCATTCAAAATAAAAACTATCAACAGACTAGGAATATAGGAAGTGCCCCTAGAAAAATAAGGGACATATGGTAGTAGCTATGGTGAATTGTCACACAATATCTGTTCACCCTGCTGATACCTTGCCTTCAAATTTTCTTGATTCTGACCCACAATAAGAAATGCTTTTTTTTTTATATATTCATTCTCTATTTCCTTCCCCTTACAAATTTATACACATATATAAAATATCCTTAAAACATTTGTGTGTAAATGATATGTGTAGCTTTCATAAAACAATACTTATTCTTGCTAGGCACACTGATAATTTATAATTTGTTCTGTTTCATTTTTTAAACTGCCATTTGTGATCTACCCATTAGATCAATTTCAACTGCAGTCAATTAGACTGCAACCTGTAGTTTGAAATCTACTGTTCTGCTCTATCTTCTTGTATTATAGATGCTTTAAGGCTAAAATGTCCATTTTCTGAACTCCCTTGCAGCTAGGTTCTCAGTGCAATTTAGTTTCAGTTAGATACAGATAAAATTTGGAATGTGGGCACAACAGGGAGTCTCTTCTGCTGGGATTCACAGTGATGAGGCCATTTGGTTTCTCTGAGGYAGGATAGTAGAGATGTTGACAGGAGCAATGTTAATTAAAATTTTAACAAGATTTTTTTTTTTTTCACAGAACTTGGAATAACAATTCTAGTATTCACATGGGAAAGCAAAATATCCCAAATAGTTAAGACAACCCTGAAAAAAAAAAATGTAAACAGAAGGAAATACATTTCTCAGATATCAAACATAAAAAGCTATAGTTTTGGTCAGCAATAGACAAGTAGATCAATGGAACATAGAGAGCTTCCAGAAAAAGGCCAAACCCATGTACAATCATGCAATTTTTAAATATGTATCAGTGAGAAAAGAGCAAACTATCTATAGGGGAACAACTGGGGGTTTCCATATCAAAGAAAATAAAATTAGATCCTCCTTATCATAACRACAACAAACATTCCAAGTAGATTGAAGACCTAAATGAAAAAAAMAAAAAAAACTTTAAAATTATGAGAAAATGATGTAGGGCAATAATCTTATGACTCAGGGGGATAGGTGAATTTCTCAGATAAGAAGTGAAGAGTCAGTCGGGGGTTGTAGTTCAGTGGTACAGTGGGTGCTTGCCTCTCATTCATGAGGTACTGGGTTCGATCCTCAGCACCATGTAAAAATAAATAAATAAAGATTGTGTCCATCTACAACTAAAAGAGATATTTAAAAAAAGAAGTGAAGAATCACAAAGCCTTGGAAAATGATATATTTGCCTCTCTAAATTTAAAACTCTTTTTTTTCTACATCAACAAAAATACCACAAAGTTCAAGAAAAGCACTAGATTAGGAAAAAAAATATTTGCAACCTCTATAACAGACAAGGATTATTATACTGAATATATAAGAATTACTGCAAATCAGAAAGAAAAGTGATAGGAAAGTTTACAGGGAATATGATTAGACAGTTCAAGATGAAAAGATGTTCARTCTCACTGGAAGATCAGGGAAATGCAAATTGAGACAACATTAAGACATCATTTAAAATCCATTAGGCTGGGTAAAAAATGAGACTATCAAATGTTGAAACCATGAGGTAAAAAGAATTAACTGACATCCTGAGAGAACCATAAATTGATTCATCAACTTGAT